TTACATATTATAATTTTTACATACTGATAGACGTACGCAACTCGGCAACTCGTGCTTTTAGTTAAGTTTTGCTTTATGCATTTACTTTAACTCAAAGGATAAGGTTCCTTCTGAATTGGCGAAATAAGCTAGGTACCCGAACTTAAATCTAAGCCAGAATTTAAAAATGTGCAGAAAAAAACAATTTTGTGTTCAAATTCAATGGTAGGGATTTTACTTCCTCAGTACAACAAAGTTATGGTTTCTCTAAGAATCCCATATCAAATCATTAATCACCTTGCATGCTGTATAATAGTATGTACATCTCTCATTCAACTAACCTTTAAAAATGGGTACTAGTTCTGGGACACCCCAAGTATTTAAAAAATCTTCCATCGCGAAAAAATCTTGATGTTAGTAAGTATTATTATCAGGTATGTAACATTTAATAAATAAGCCCTTACCTGCGATTTAGTGATGTCTAGATGATAACGGTCTATTATAAACTTCTTAGCACAACGAACGAACTGAAATGTAACAACGCAAAAACAGTACTTAGGTAGAACTGCAGTATCTGCATATTCACCGTTTTAGAACAAAAGAGATCACATTGCAACGCGCACCAACGATATGGTTAACTATGGAATTTGTTGATAACAACAATATAAGCGTTAAAAATTACCACTACAGTAGTGGTAAGTGGAACTACCAGAGTTATGTGCGTTGTAATAAATGCCGTTCAGATTGCACATATTAGGCGCCGTGTATATATTACTTTTGCAATAAATCTTTTTTGTAGTAGTTAGAAGTAATGTGCGTATGGACTACTTATACTAAAAAATGTGGTATTATGGACAAATTTTGCATTACTACTACAGCTAGTATTTCTATATTTAAATATTTTTCTCAGTGTAGAGACCAATTAGCTGAATATTTCCAAACGGAAGTAGGAGGTGTGCCATGGCAAATGGAAAAAGTATATGCAGGCAGCTTACCCTCTTCATAAATGTTTGTAGAATAAGTCACGTTTAGTTTTAAGTTTCTATATAAAATAATTCTCATTTCTAATGTTAACATATTTAACCCTTAAATATATACAATAACTTTATAATTATGACTCGTACTTTTCTAAAACCTCCAAAACTTCAATTTTGGCTCTGGCTTTTAATTTCCTATCATTAATATGTTTTAATGAGGCAGCGACTGTTTTGGCAAAATAATCATCTTCGTCTAATTCAGTTTCCGAATGTTGCATGACATTTTGCAATGAAGAAAATGCATTCACAATTGCTGTCTGTACAAGCTCGTTAGGATTTCCCTTTGACTTTGAGCCTTTTGCACGATTTGTAGCAGTAGAGCGGGACTGAGGGCTGTTTGGTGCCGTGTCAATTGACGGTGAACGGTCCCGTTCTTCTGGGTCGCTCCTACTGCAGCTAGGCTGTGGATCAGCACTTATGATTTGAGAGTACGTATCCCACTCTTCCGATGGAAGTTCCAACTCCTGCGTTTGTTGTGTTTCAGTGGAATGGCAGGAAGATGGGGTAATATTTCCCACAGTTATGAAAAAATTACAGTAGAAGTAGAAGTATTCATAACTACTGGCATGTATACTTTCTTCGAATGATAAATGTATCGAGGAATGACAAAGATTCAAATAAACTCCATTTCTTTTCCACCCCACCTGCGTCTCCCGATCTTTGGCTTTGCATCTTTTTCTTCTCTACGTTATACCTATTACGAAGAGTAGTAAAACGTTGTTCTGCATCGCCAGCTGTGTATTAAAAAGAGAACATGTTTCAAAACACTAAAATAGACCTATTAATTTACCTACCTGTTGTGTTTAAAATACTACCAATAGTGGCCCACGCATTTGCCCTGACGGTTCTATTTTTAAAGTCAGCGTGATTTCTGTTATATAGAGAAGTATATTTTTCCACTAGACTAATCAAATGGGCGTCGTCCATATTTTAATTTGGAAAATGGCAAAATGCATTTGATCACAATAAATTACCGCGAAGTCACTAACCTAACCATAAAAGTTACCGTATCCACGTGACAAAACACAAAACAGCTGTGATGGAAAACTCAATACTTAATAGCTTTATTCGATTTAGGGCCGGTTTATTCAAGCTCAAGTAAAGTTCAAAGTAAGTTACTGGTTCAAGTAAGAGCGACATCTGTATATTCACAGCCAAGTAAATTTACAGGGGCGTGTAAATAGCTTACTGGTAAAGTAAACTTATAGGCTACTTCAATGCGCCAGTAAGGTGTTACTTCAGTTATTCTAACCTCACACTTTGTATTGTATGTAAACAATGGACGTTATCGACGATATTTTGTTATTTAACGAAATGGATATTATTAATAACATTGAAAGGCGACCCTATAATACAATTAATAGATTTCGTCACGTCGATAACTTTCACGAGTGGGATGAAACTGATTTTGTAAGACGGTTTAGATTGTCTAAAGCTTCCGTCCTTGTAGTATTAGAGTTAATACAAGGTGATATTCGGGCTCGTACTAACAGGTAAGTGCAAAAGTATACATCTGTGATGATGGTATGTAATTACGTGTTTTTTGTCAGGAACAATCCCATAGCTCCATTGCAGCAGTTGCTTCTTACGCTTCGCTTTTTTGCAAGTGGAAGCTTTTATATAACCGTGTCAGATTTCGGCGGAATACATAAGAGTACTGCGGCACAAATAATAAAGAGAACCGTAACTGCCTTGTGTCAATTACGCCGGGACTATATCTATTTCCCAAGAGATCCAGAAGAGCAACATAATGTCAAAGCAAAATTCTGCAACATTGCAGCATTTCCAAGAGTTCTTGGAGCCCTTGATGGTACCCACATCCGGATTCAATCACCAGGTATGATCAAAGTTTAAGTACCTAACTACTTACCTACATGTAATAATACATACATAATTTCTTTTCACCAGGTGGGAAACAAGCCGAGACATTTAGAAATAGGAAAGGATATTTCTCCTTAAATGTTATCAGTGATGCAAAGCACTACATACGAAATATTGTCACTCGATGGCCTGGATCAAGCCATGACGCAAATATATTTGATAATTCACTCATTCGAATGCAATTTAAAAATGGGGAAATGGGCAATGGACTGCTATTAGGCGATAGTGCATACCCCCTCAGATCGTATCTAATTACACCTATTTACAATCCCCAAGGTGAAATAGAGACCCTGTTTAATGAATCGTTAATCCGCACGAGAACTGTAGTGGAGAGAACTTTTGGCATTTGGAAGCGGCGTTTCCCTATACTATCCGTAGGAATGAGGTGTCGTGTTGAATTAGCACAAAATATTATTGTCGCCACAGCAGTAATACATAACATTGCACGTCAAGAGAGAGATGTCATTGACGATTTGGAGGATGACCCACTAATAGAGAATGTACTGGCTCCTCCACCTAGGAATGACAATGATAACCACCATCATAGAAGAGAGTTATTAGAATATTTTGAACAGTTGTGCAATCATAGAAATTAAAAGTAACTTTAAAAAATAACTGAATTTTAATACAAATTTTACAAACATAATTGCTTTTGTAATAATTTTTGTTTCAATTTTAAGATCTCCATTTCTAACTCATGCTTTGCTGTTTCCCTTTCACGCCTTTCTTTCATGAGTTGTAACTCTTCCTGTCGCACTTCTTTTTCCAATTCCACAATTGCCAACTGCAATTTAACCAGCTCCTCTCTACTGTTTGCTAATTTACTGAATTTTTGTTCTAGATTTGCTTTACGGTTTGTTTTTTGTTGCAAAGCTTTGTGAGGTGGTTCTTTCATTTTTTGTGGGGTCCACGATTGCCAACCAGTTGCATTTGTTGCTAGATACAATAAATACTCACTTCAATTAAGGAATTAAAATGAAAGGAAGCACTTACCGACATCACTTGCACTTGCTTCAATTGGAGTTGCTTCTTCATTTGGCATATCTATCTCGATGGGGATATCCAAAACATATGCAACGGGTTCTAAATGAGATGTAGCTCTGGTGATGTTATTACACCCTACAATATACAGTATACAGGTCTTATTTATCCCTTTGTAATTACCACAAATTACTTTCATCTTCACTAAGTTCTGCTGTCGACATTGGTGCATCGATTACAATCGGTTGAGTACATTCGACTGGTTCTGGTGGTGGAATAACAGGAATTTCTAAATCTGCAGCACTTTTGTAAATAATGTAATAGGGTCTTTTTTATTGTTACCTTTATCACAATCATTTTGCGTGTGTAATCCGTCCACTTGCGTACTTATAATAGCTAGCAGCTTCTCTTCGTAGTCAGTATAGGTCACTGTATCGGGAGGGCCTCCACCAGTCCGATATAATCCACACTTCTCTTTACTACGTTTCTGCTGGAGACTTCGTTTTATGCCTTCGTATTTTATTTTTAACATTTTAGTTGATCGAAACGTGGATCCGCTGTTTGCATTAAATGCACTTTCGAGGTTGATCCACGCGTCCTCTTTCTGTTTGCATGTCACAGCATCAGTTTGTTTATTTTCAATAATTTTTTTCCGTTTGCAAACTTCGTCTACTAGTAACCTTGATTCAGCCATTGTAAAATTCGAAGATCGTGCCCGTTTTTTGTTATCACTAGCTGTAAAAACATGTTGTAATAGTAGTGAATATTCCGTAATTGGTAAAACTTACCTGTATTTGCATCCATGGTACCGGTACGTAGAATAACTAATACCGAACAAGTAAAAGCGCAAACGGTATATAACCTAACAAAACCACCTTAGAAAGTAACGTAAACGTTGTCACTATCTTTGTTTAATACTAGCATTCGTATGCCGCATCTCTCTCTAAGAATTACAGATCGTTTAAAAACGTTGACGCTCACCTACTGGTGTGCGTGACTATTCGTTTAAAAACATACCAACCTTTTCAGTATCTACTTAACAGCCAGTAGCACATGAATAGACAGAATTGATTTACTTTTCATAAGTAAATTTAACTAACCAGTAGTTACTTAAGATTTGTTGGGTAGCCCCTTAGTTGACTATGCGCGCTATATGTCACTTTCGTCACATTGTGGGTATTCGTTTTAGAACCGCAATTGGACTGTGGCTGCCGTTACGTTATTCGTTTTACATTTTCTGCGTCAACACCGTGTCAAGTTTGTGTTGCCGCACGGAACACATGCTAAGGGAGCATGTTCTAGTTGCGTCAAATGTCAAGAGTTTGTTGTTTTAGGTTACGGTAAAAGAATTTAAGTTTTTTAGCGATCGTTTAATTTCAAAAATTATGGAACAGGTGCGTTTTTATGTTGATGTCGTTGAACGTGATTTTTATTATTTTATTTTTTCAGCCTGGGTACATTTGTTCCGTGTGCAACACAAATGTAGGACTGACCACCTCAGCTGCAAAGCACCATGACTGCATGGAGGGTCATGAAAACATATGGATAGTGGACAATTACATCTACCCATATGATCCTACTTCTCAAAGTGAAGAATTCCATACTGAATTGAGCGACAACTCTAGCGGTAAGTACACTTTGGAACTGTATACTTGGAAATTGTCTATAATAACAAGACCTACTATTTTCAGAATCAAATTTAAATGTAGATAATGAAGGACATTCTTCTGCTACACCACAGCTGTGGCCACTTCAAGCTAAGAAGTTATTAATAGAATTGTACCCTAAGTATCTGAAACGTTTTTCAGATAGAGTAATTATTTCTAAGGAACAAATGTTTGTCAAACTAACAGCTGAATTAAATGAGTATGGATATAAATACACTGCTATGCAAGTAAAGTACAGATGGCGATGCTTCGAAAAGGCTTATAAAAATTTTGCTAAGCATACAAAAAGTACAGGTCGAGGTTATAAGAAATTGGAGTTTTACGATGAGCTGCATGATATCTTTCAGAAGGAACCAAGATTCTACCCAGAAGTACTCACTTCAAGTGTAGCAACAAAAACTTTGCAAAAAGAAAATGCACTTCCTCAAAATGAAAATGTGCTTCCAACAAGGTTAAGTTTTGTCTTCAAACTATAGCCTTTTGTTAAAATATTGTTTTAGTGAGGCGCCACGTGCAAATACAATCACAACCATAACGCAAAACCCACCACAAGGTTTTAATGTTCAAAAGAAAGGTTACAAACCTACATCTATTGTTCTGGAAGGAATACATGCAGAAATGAAACGGAAAAATGATCTAACTGAACAGAAATTAGCCATAGAGAAAAAGAAAAATGAATTGTTAGAACGCAAATTGGAGTTAATGAGTAAATACTTAGCAGAGAAGGAGAAGTCGGAGATTTAAATTGCTCATGTTGTGTTAAGTAATATGTAATATTTAAGTATAATGACTTATATAATGAAATAAATTAAGTACACATTCTTTATATCACACTTGCAATATAATTTCTTTTTGCTGCACCAGATCTTGCTTCAAAAGTCATATTGGTATCTGCAACAGCGACATTTTCATCTTCTATGGCAGTTATATCCAATGGATTATGTTCACAATCAAACAACAATTTATCTTGTATTTGACATAAATTATGTAACACACAACACGATTTAACCAGGGCAACAACTCGTTCAATTTTTCGTAGTTTTACATGGTACAACTGACGAAATCGTTGCTTGAGAATGCCATTTGCATGTTCCACTTTGATTCTTAGTGAGCTATGCACTTTGTTATAGCGTGTTTGCATTCTATTAAGATGGCCATTATCTTTGTAAGGAGTAAGGCAGAAATCCAGGCATGGATAAGCCGAATCTCCTAAAAGATGTCCATCTACAAGAACTGATTATGTAATTTTTTTTATTATTTAATTAAAAATTACCTTGACATAATTCTGATAGTTGTGGATATATAAAACTTGATGAGAAGACACGTGCATCATGCACAGAACCTGGATACCCAATAAAAACATCTATTAATTTGCATTTGTCGTCACATATGATTTGCACCTGTATCGAATGGTAATGCTTCCTGTTGCAATAAGATTCCTGATGTTTTGTAGGCTTGTCGATTTTAATATGTGTCCCATCTATAAATCCTACATTAAAAATTCATTTTAATCCCGACAATCTTTACTTTAGTGATCTCACCAACGACACCTGGAAAACGTGTTCTTCTGAAAACTTCTGAACTGGTCTGCTGTATTTCTTGTTGTGAAGGCCACTTAATGACTTCTGCAGCCATTTCATCAAAAAACGCATTCATACGACTTCATTATTTCAAATAACGTCGATACTGTGATGTTGAACCGATCACCAACATCTACATATGTACAGGAGTGGCCTACATACCACAGAAAGATTTCCAAATGTTTTTTTGGTTCAACTACATCCTTTCCTTTTGCTAAAATGTACATGAATTTTAACTACTTATACATTAAAACCAAATTTACCTACTATGAAAATGTTGTAAGAAAATATGGCTTTCAGTAAAACGTTCTGTCAAACTGTTCATTAGCTCCTTTGAAATTCTAAAATGAGTTTTAAACTCATTATCATTGTAACTCACTACAGTGATTTCACTGTAATTTTTTATAGCGTTTCGCTCTGTCCTTGCTGATGAAACTATTGCACCCACTACTTCATTATCAAAATCGGAAGATGAATCTGTAGTCTCATCTTCATCGCTTTCAAAAAGTAAGCTGCCAAAAATAACATCCTCAGTAAGCGCCATAATTCAGTGCAAGTAATTTTGGAGGTTAAAAAAGACGGTTATGTTAAAAACTTTTCCAACCAGCGCATTCGTTTTTAGTGCCCTAACTTGTTTTGCCCTAAGTACAAAACTTGACTTCAAGGTTACCGACATACGTTGACGTTGACGTTAGTTGGTGCGCCTTGAATTTCAAAAACGAATAAAGCTAATAGTACCTGCGCACTTGCGTGTTCATGTAAATTAAAACTAAGAAGTTAAAAGTTGGTTAACTTTTTAATTTCTTATGTTAATTTAATTTAATGTAAGATTACCATAAACGGTATAATATAAATCTACAGGTTTGAACTTTTCTTAATTTTAAATTAGTTTTAAATTAATGTTAAATGTTTTTGCATAAACCCACCTTAAAGCTTATTTATATTATTTTGCGTTTTATAGGTTAGAAGGTATATTCTATACAAACTACCAGAACACAAGAAAAATGTATTTTAATAAATTGAACATTACTTATTTATTATACAAATTAAAGGTGCCAAAAGAACAATTATAAAAATTGACACCGGAAGTGATCTCATCGCTGATAAACCGGAATAGCTCCCTTCAAGAGGTTATTTGAACGGGTCGCCGGGGTCGAATGCGGGAATATAAAAAAGACGCACTGCTCGTAGTCGGTTTATTGCTTGTCAGAAATCGGGTGTTTTTTGTCGTAATCGGGAATTGTCTTATTTTGGGTAGTTTCTAAATATAAAGTCGAATATCAGTAGGTACATGCCTTAGGTGAACACATCACTTAATTTAAGTACGAGCTTAATTTACAAAGTACTATGGACTTACCTAAATATAAAGTCGAACTCCACAAGATCTCTTAATAAATACAATTAAGTTCACAATGTTGGATCATGCTCGCCATATTCTAGAATGTACATCAAATTTGCAAATAGCAAGGACATCAGGAAATGAGATAAAATGACCACATGTAGGAACATATTTGAATTTGAAATTACTGATAAATATTGTTATTATAAATACTAGTAGCGCCATCTGTTGAGGTGAAAATACATTAACATTTATCTAAAACAGATTTCTAATTGATTTGAAATTAAGTTTATTTTTATTTGTTTTGCTATACTGTTTAGTTGTTGAATATTAACAACGTTACTTTGGTGAGAAGTACTGGCAGTAATAGTGCTCGGCTTAGACGTCAGAATTTTTGCTGTCGTCTCAAGTTTATTAGCAATTGATTCGTCAATATAATTTTCTGCTACGCTTGACGAAACCCATCCACCGTGCCGCTTGATTTCCACAAGATTGGCCCCTCGGTTGGCAAGCAAAGTAGTCGACGATCGCCGAAAACAATGACAAGTGTATAGTTCCGGATTTTCTAGTTTTAGATATGAAGCAATAATTTTAGGTAGATTACCAAATGTGTTAATCCCAACAACCTGATTTATACAACGGCCGTTCTGATATTTTAAAAAGAACCGTTTTTCTGCAGAAGACTTGTTTGCTCTTAAAGCCGAGTATTTTCTGTAATACGCCAAATAGTCAATGTTATCTGCATTTATGACTGTAAATGTTCTAGGTTTGTAAGTTTTAGTATCCTCAATGTTTATGATGAGAGAATTATTGATTTCCGTGATGTTTTCTGATTTCAAGTTATATAACTCTTGACATCGGCAGGCTCCGCAAATTCCAAAGATTAATGCGACCTAAAAGAGTTTATGACTTTTGCATGCTGCCGTCTATTAATAGGTATGAAAGATTTCGACCCACCTTTATCATTAAAAACTGTTCATCAGGAGCTTGACTTAGGAAGTGAATTATTTGTTCGAAACTTAGGATTTTTGAGTTTTTAGGTTGATATCCAACCCTTTTTCGTTTAAGGAAAGCTATTAATTTGGAATATGTTCCTATGTTTATATCATTCTTCGCCAATAAAGTTGCCTTTAACATTGAAAATAATGACCAAAGTGACGGAGCCTTATACGTTTCGGCTTGCTTTGAGAAATATGTAAGGAGCACATTCTCTGAGTACTTGTTTATCCTATTTGAGTTACACCACTTAATAAACTCGTCATAACGTTTTTCATAAATTTTCCGTGATTTCGAAGGCAACAACTCTAGGGTAACTTTTTTTGCAGTTTCAGCAACATCGGGAGGCGTACAGCCCTCGTATTCTACGGCATCTAAATCTTCCATTTCTACGGCAAATTTTATATTGTGTTTAAATTTTGATGTGTACCTATGTATTCATACCTAATAATCTATTAAAAGTACAAAAACTCGTTTAGTATTACAAAAATTAACGTCTAAATTTTATTTTGAATCTTGATTCAAATTTTTGAATTAAAGTGACAGGTAGATAAATATGGCACTACTGCAAACATAACCATGTCAAAGTAACTAAACTAATAATGTGGAATAGCTGGGATCATTCCATGATAAGGTGTCAACCATGGAGTGTGTAAACAAGTTACTATATCGTAATAGATTTGTTTACGCATCGCCAGAAATGCGTAAACCAAGAAGTTTATACGTGACCGTAGAAAAAACTAATTACCTTACGATTAATTTCTAACTCAGTTCTCCACTGACGATTGTCTGTAACGGTGTCCACATTTTGTTGCTCGTCTACGCTGCCTACGTAGATGAAGTTTTTGTTGTTATCCTCTTGTGTAATATTCTAAGAGCCCGCGACGCAAACCATTACCATTCAAATAGCAGCATAAAACGTATACATGAACAAGTATTGGAGGTCCCCATACACGAAACGCTCGGTCTGTCGGACCGCATTTAGCCGGAAGGTAAACAAATTCAATTGTTTATTTGTATATTTCATAAGAAATCATTACTTTTAAGAAAAGGAGGTCATATGTGGTACCAAATTAAAGCTCTTGACGTCCGCTGCACAAATAACTCGGTCTGTCGGCAAGCAAATAGCCGGAAGTCCTTGACAGACCGACATTTAGTCTGCTGCTAGAAGCTGACATTTCAGTTAGTTATAAATTTCTACGATCACTCTGATCCAAGCATTTTAGTTCTGTACTAAAGAGTAAATAACCATAAACCTCTACAGCGGATCTAAAAAAGCGACTGAGCTCCTTGGTTTGACCCTACGGGGTCATCGAACATTTAGTCTGCTGCTGGAATCCCACAAAATAATTGTAAAGTGAAGAAAAGTTATCGACAAAATATGAAATTAATACTTTTCTTCACTTTGCAATTGTTTCATTGTATTGTTTTTGAATTGAATGATTCTCTTATATTTTGAGCTAACTGTGGGATTCTAGCAGTAGATGAAATGTTCAATGATCCCGTAGGGTCAAACCGAGGAGCTCAGCCGCTTTTTTAGATCCGCTGTAGAGGTTTATGGTTATTTACTCTTTGGTACAGAACTAAAATGCTTGGATCTGAATGACCGTAGAAATTTCTAACTAACTGAAATGTCGGCTTCTAGCAGCAGACTAAATGTCGGCCTGTCAAGGACTTCTGGCTATTTGCCTGCCGACAGACCGAGTTATTTGTGCAGCTGACGTCAAGAGCTTTAATTTGGTACCACATATGACCTGATTTTCTTAAAAGTAATGATTTCTTATGAAATATACAAATAAACAATTGAATTTGTTTACCTTTCGGCTAAATGCGGTCCGACAGACCGAGCG